GCCAATCTGGCGGCGGCGCCGCCGCAGCAGCAGGCGCCTGTGGCGCGCTCGCCTCGGAGCCTGTCGGTGCAGCGGCGCTGGAGCTCGCGCCACCAAAGGCGGACACCGCCGCGCCAAGGGGCCGCCTGGCGGGCGCCGGTGGCGCCGGCCGCGCCTCGGCCGCGGACGCGGGCGCGGTGGCGGGCGTGGACGGCGTCGCGGGCGAGTCGGAGCCCGCCGCGCCGCCGCGCGGCGCGCGCAACCACGACAGCCTGGGCGGCCGCGTCGGCGGCGCAGCCGCGGGCGGCGTCGCAAAGGGGTCGGCTCGTCCCTCCTGCACCGCGCGCAGCTGCTCGTGCTGCCGCGCGTCCGCATGCGCTCCCTGCCCTGCAGCCGCGGCCACGCCCGCCGCACCAGCCTCCTCTGCGCCCATCACAAGCTGCCGGTTCGCAAACACGAGCCCCGCCCGCTCCGCCGACTGCACGAGCAGGCGCGCGCAGTAGGGCATGCCGCCGGCCAGCAAGAACAGCAGCAGCCGCCGGACCTGAGAAGCATACTCTCCGAGATCGCCGCCGCCGCCGCCGCCGCCGCTGCCGCCGGCGGCTTGCTGCTGGTGCGCAAGGCGGGGGGCCAGGGCCTCTGACAGGTCAAACAGCAGGGGGCCCACGCGCCCACCAAACACTGCGCCTTCGTCCGGCGGCGGCGCGGGCGCGCCGCCGCCGCCGCCCTCGGCGGAGCGGCGCGCCGCGTCGAGGGCGGCGGGCAGCAGGCCCTGCACCTCGGCGCAGCAGGCGGGGCTGGGGAGCAGCAGCAGCGGGAGCGCCACGACGAGCGCGCCGGCGCCGGCGCCGGCTTGGTTGCCGCCCTCGCTGCCCCCGCCACCGCCACCGCCGCCGCCGCCGCCACTGCCTCCAGGCTGCCCTTCTGGCAGGCCGTTGTCTTTGTCGCAATCCGTCATGCTGCAATCGCTGACGCTGGCGCCGTTGCTGGCGCTCTGGTTCGGCCCAGGGCCGTTGCGACCAGGCAGTTGGGGGTTGCCGTTGCCGCTGCCGGTGCTGCTGCTGCCGTTGCTGCTGTTGCTGCCAGTGACGCCGCTGCCCGACGGCGCGTCGCCTGGGGGATCCTCCCCTCCAGAGACGCCGCCGCCTGCTGCCGCGCCGGGCCGCCAGCGCCGCAGCAGCACCATCAGGCGCGGCGGGTCTGCGGCGCGCAGCGCGCGCAGCGGCGG